CCCCCCCAAATCCCAAGCTTCTCTCTTTCCTTTTTAAATATTTAACAATGAATTCTGTGCTTGTCAAAAGTACCTGATTCACAGCTCTTTACATACAGGCCATTTATCCATAGTACAGATTCAGCAGAAACCAGAGAGTTCTTCCATGCTGCCCCAGTAACTTTAACCAGACATGAGGGACCTTACTTAGGGTTCAAAGGAGATTCATTTTTCAGGCTCATTCAATATGTGATTTTATATTAACAGTGTCTGGCATTTATGAATTGTCATAAATCAAAAGGTTGCAAAGTATTTCATAATTTGGGCTAAACTCTAAGAGTATGAAAGCTGATGAATGTTCTGCTATCACTATTAATGGCAGCAGGCTTTAATCCTAATTAATTATGTGTCAATCATTAAACATTGACTAGTAATTTGAACAAAAAAACTCCCCAAAGGGTGCAATCAGGGCACTGATTCTTTTATATTTATGCACTAGGAAGTGGTTTAAAAGTGTTGCAAAAATAATGCAACTTACTGCATGAAGTTAATCCCGGAAATGTTTGAAGTCATTCCATGTAGGCCAAAAACAATTGTCAAAGAATAACAATTTTTGGATGTTATGGGTCTGACTGGATTCAGGCAAATGACTGAGAGCTGAAAGTTGCCATACTACCAATCGTCTAGGCTAGCTCACATCTGGTGAAGTTCCTTGTGCCCTTTTTTTTGGCCCGCATTCTGAGTTATGTCTATGGGACTCAGCAGGTTGAGTGATACATTTTCTGAAATGACTCTTACATACAGGAAAACCCAGCTCCAGCTATTACATCTAGAATGCTGGTGGTGGTACCAATATTAAAGCAATACAATATTTGTCTAACCCTAGAAAGACAAGTGTGGTAGTACAGAAGAAACCTTTCAAAAATATAATATCAGTGCATAGCATGCATTATCTAGGCAGGTTTATTCTTTCAACATGTATTCATGGGGGCTCTTTTCTATTCCTGCAAAGCATGGTACTTTATGTAAAATGAGAATAGGCAAATGGACCTTTTATAGCCTCATGACATTTCAACGGCAAAACCTAATTGTCTATCACTCACCTGCTACTAAACTTCTCCCTCCTGAGCAGAGATTCATGTCCATTGGAATTAGCAGCTCCCATGTAACTTTCAGTGGAAATATTAACTTAAATGAGTTGACTAGATTATATTGCCTGACAGAGCAGAAGTAGATATTATTGTTGTTTACATATTGCCAGATTTTCCAGAATTTATTGAGAGCAAAGAAAGTCCAGGTGCCAAGATCTTTTGAAAATCTGGACAGTTATGCCATGGGTGCCACTGAGGCATTTCTACAGACCAAAAGGAAACAAACCTCACCCCTGGGAATTTACAATGTAATGGGGTGATGCAGCTTTCATTCACAGCCAAAGAAAAACTCCTACCAACATAAAGGCGAGCCAGATCTAGCTCTAGCTTACCATGTTTTCCTATATATAACACATCCCAAATAAACCATGCACCGTGTTTGCGCAAGAAAGAATGCAAAAAAATAACAATTTCCAGAGTCATGACTGTGTGACAGAATAAGACCTCCTGGTAACACAAAGTATGCCAGAAGTTTGATATCTCGAAAGACATTTCAGGCGAGGCAACAGGTAACTGTCTCCTGGGATGCCACCATTCCCAGACACGTTATGTTCCCAGGAGGACCTGTCATGCAGGTTAGTCCCCAGACCCTTGCAAAGCCAGCAGCAAGCTGACACTTTTTTACCATAAGTAGTTTTTTATATAAGCTCCGGTAAATAAAGTGTTATTTCCACATCAGAAGCCTCATCAGGATTCTACAAGGCACAAGCTTCAGTGTTCACCAATAGTTATGTCTGTGAAAGGGTTAACACAGGGGTCCGCCCCTTCAATTTGCTGGCAACCATCTTGGCAGCTGCATGGCATGCATAGTTCGTTGGACAGTCTGCTTTTCGAGGAAAGAAAACAGCTTCCCTACTTGATATGCACGCCCCTGTTTGAGGATGCTGATTTTGGGGGAAAGGGTATATGTAGGATGGGAGAAAATATGGTATCTTAACGTCGGGCAAAGCTTTGACTTGACCAGAAGCTTTCGAGAAACAATCAGCAATCAAGCAGGCTGAGCCTAAGGCTCTGATCATGCCAGCACAAACACGCATGGTTTAACTGTATGCACACTGACTTCAGGATTACTCAAAGTGGGTATGCTTAAGTCTCTAAAACAGCAGGGCCACTGATTCTGCTCCATTAAAATCAATTAGGGGCATTTCATTGGGAGAAGGTTCAAGCCCTAAGGTAGTAAAACTTTTATTCACATGCAGAAAGTGTGGGAGAGGGAAAGGGCTTGGATTCTAAGCTCATTTCTAAAGAAAATTATGTATATTAGCTATAAAAAACTGGCAAATACTCCCTGAAGTATGATGAACAGGCTACTGTTTCTTTGACTTGGTAATTCTAATAGAATTTTCCAAAGTGCCTAAGTGCTTTAGGAACCTAAGTCCTACAGAAAATGATTAGACTGTGGGGGAAGGAGGGCGAGAGGGAAGTTACCTTCTTTTTTAAATTTGATGTCTACAAAAATAGATGAAAATGTTGAGCTGGGTGGCTGGAGAACTGAATAGATCTCTTGTCTGCATTCCTTGTCTGCAACTATTCCCAGTGCTGTCTTTCTTTTAAGGCTTTCTTTCCCCCCGCCCCATTTTTAAAAAAAAGGAAAAAATCCAGTGCTTGAATACACAGCCCATTTCAAAGCTCCAGTGGGTAGCAAGGAAATGCTTTAGAGATCAGGTGAGATGAATTCAAGAAGAGTGAAAATGGTCTTTGGTTCTGCTCTGTTACCTTTTACTGAAGAATCACTGCAGAGATGTGAATCATCTTCATCCATACCGTGCTTCATTTCTTGCGGGCATTTTCACAGATCTCTCCTGCTTCTTTTGTCTCTTGGTGTCAAGAAACAGTGATTTTTCCCTGGTCACTGTGGCATTAAGGGTTTAGTAGCAGCTAAAACAAATGGAGGAGAAAGGCATTGTGACAGCAAAACAAGCAAATAAATAAATAAAGGCACATTGTAATGAAGAATATAAATTAGGTAATAAAGTGAAGAAAAATGGGGAAACATAGGAGTTTTACCTCACTTGGCTTACTTTTTAACCTAAAATATATTTAGTATACTGAGAATACAATAGCTTTCAGAAGACCAGGTCAGGTTTTTTTTAATAGAGAAAAGCCTCTGCAGAGATAACAAACAAATTACACACCTTTAAAGAACTCACAAGTAGCTAACTTTAAAAACATTCCATTAAATAATTTAATAGAAATAATTGCAGAAAATATTAGTATAAATAATTGTTTACCGAACAGATCAGAAATACCTCAAAATGATACGTACAGTCCTTCTAAAGTATAGAAAATTTTCTTTTCACCTCTCCCATTTACGACACTTAAAGAAATTCTGTCTTGAATTTAACTATTGTATTAAGAGTTAGAAAGCTAAATTATAGTTTTTATAGAGAATGAAATACCAAACACGTTTCCAATGCTTCCTTACTTCTCAAATGTAATTCCTTTCTTTGGGGACTACATATTTATGGCAAAATAGATGGCAAAAATAGAACAACAGACATATATATTTTAAAGTTACATATTTTTCTCGAGAAGGAGCTGTTGTCTGCCTGGTCAAAGTACCCAGCATGGAAACAGGTTATGTTTCATACCTAATTACACTTTGAGAAAAGCATTTAACATTTACTGTCCCAGACAGGGATAGCCAAACACTTGGAGCCTTCCTGTACCCACAACAACAAGCAAAGGTATAGCAAGTAGGTTGGAAAATGGGCAGTAGTAGCAGCTGGGGTCAGTAGCAGTGGGGCTAGCAGCAGCAGCAACTGCCCATCTTGCACCCCCTCTAAGCCTAGGGCTGGGGCCCTGCTCCCTCTCAAATCATTGCACTACCAAGAACTCACTTATGCCAGTTTTATACCAGTGTCCTCCATTTAATGAATCTGCTGCAAGATCAAAAGCAAGCTCAGAGGCCTTTTCATACTAGGCTGTAACTAACGCAAATACTAAAATCTTAAATACTTAATGTTTTGAATAAGGTTGCAACCTTTTAGAATGAATAAATCCGCAGTCAATTGTTTGTGCTGCATCCCAGGAGAAAAGTTATTTTTAGGTGTTGGATAACCAAAATTTAAATTGGGGATTAAATTAGGGATTAAATTAAATAGCCTTCCTCTGTAGTGGGGGGCATGGTTCTCCTCCTTGGATCTCTCAAGCATATTTTAACAACTTTCACATCAACAGAACATTGGCCACCACTGTCCCACTGTAGCAAATTAGGATGCTATGCCTGTGACTGTCAGGGTTGACTCTGTAGTTTTACTAATACCTTACTTTTTTGCATATAGCCTGCACTTTTTCTTCCAAACCAGCTGGGGAGAACTGAGTTGTGCATTATATGTGAGGAATAAGGCTCCCCGTGGATCGAAACATTTGGCGATGGGGATGGGGGGGGGGGGGGCGAGGGGGGGGGGGGAGGAGAGCAGAGTGGGGGAGGCAGATCAGTGATAGCATTAATTGCCAGGGCTCTAGGAGCCACAGAAATTAACACTGCCACTGCTCCTCTCTCCATCTCCCCACCATTAAACATCTGAGTCCATGGGAAGCTCCACTCCCCAACAATGTGCCAGACTGGGCTGGCATGCAGGGTTGGCCTGTGGCTGGACCCCATGCATTGGCTGTAGAGCTACACGCCGGGTTCAACCCAGTGTGCTCAGTCTGGATTGCACACTGGCTCCAAGACTGCATGAACTCACTGCACAGCCCCCAGTCCCACCATGGCCAGATTAGGCCTAGCCCCATATCAGAGCTTTCAGCTCTACCATGGCTGGACTGGGTCTGGCCCTGCCAAGTGGCTTCCAGCCATCCCCCGCTGCAGCTGCCAGCACCACTTTATGATCCCCAGCCCTGCTGCTGCTGCATTGAGTGCTACCATGCAGACCCCAGCCCCAGAGGCCCCAGACTTCAGATAAGATCTTTTTCCTTCTTGGGGCCTTCCAAAATTAATATGTATGTTATATTTTGGCCATGTGTTATATGTGAGAAAATATGATAGGTTAGACAATGGATTTGTATAGGATGGTTTGGAAAGGGATAATCCTGCCTCTGGACTAATAACCTATGGAGTTCCTTTCCAGCCCTACTTTTCTAAGATTCTATGATTGTACCAAAAATCATGAAAGGCTCAGATGTAGTCATACTCATTCTTAAACAGACACAAAACACAACATTATTCATTTTAAGATATTGTTCATATTGTTATCCAAGGGGATATTCCTGAGGAATTTATATTTGTATGAAAAAGATTTGTTTCCATGATAGTTATTAACCCTTCACTTAGCTACCTTGATTGGACATAATTCATCTTACTAACACAAAGTTAGTATATACTATCTGCAAATGAATTTGGGTAGATGTGCCTAAGAGTCTTCCCCTCTTTTACCCTCTAGGTAAGAGCAGCTTTAAAGTGCAGCCATTTTCCCTAAGGTATCACCAACGGAGACTTCCAGGCACCTTAGACACTGCCTCTCTCTTTCTAGCCACCAACTTCCATCTTGGGAACTGTACTGTTGCTGCTGACCCCACAATGAAGAGTAAATTTCTAGGTGTTTTACACTGCTTATAGATGAACATACCACTGATGAGGCCCACAGTCTGGGTTCTGTAAACAGGACTGATATGCACCTATTGTTCAGTCATCAAATATATAGCACCTATTTTAGGCAATTTTCAAATTATTTCCTAACAGCAGGAAAACCAGGGAATGGAAGCTGTAACACACGGAGTGCATATATCCGCTCATGGTCCCTAGGATCTCCTTTGCAAATGAGATCTTGCACTTTGTAGAGGTTTGCTTTCCCTGTGGTAAACTATTTAAATGAATAACCACATTTAAACTCCTCTTGGGACTCAACCAATTTAAGGAAAATCATCCAGGAATTCACTGCAAATGAGATGCTACATCTCCAAAGACCATGTTCCTTACCATTTCGGTGACAGGTTTGGATTGGCTGCTAACAATGAATACCAGAAAGTTTGGAATCTCTCCATTATGATTCAATTTAAACATGATTTGAACTAGCTAGACAAAAGGGGACTTTTAAAATAAATTAATAAGTAGCTTTCACAGCAAATAAAAATCTGTGCCTAAATAGTGGCTACTTATGCTCCTGTCCTCAGATTAAAAATACATATATACAGTGTCCCAAGAGGAAAAGAAATTATCTGATAATATATTACAAGACAAAACAAAGAAAAGCAAACAAACCCTAGGAACAATGCTGCCTTTTCCTAGAATAATTAGTCACATAGGATCATATTTACTGTTGCATTTCTTTGGTCTTTTCAGTTTTTTGTAATTTAGCACTCATTGCTTTGGTTTTCCCAATACATGACAGTCTGCTGTGGTTGACATGCCCGTGACATTCTGTCAAGGTTATTACTATGTATTATTTATACGGTAATTGATATCAATAGCAAAACTCCCATTGAAGTCAATGGAAGCAGGACTGCAATCTTGGCTTTAAGAGGTATTTTGCATTCAGAGTGGTAGCTCTTCACAGCTGATCTACAGGCATTCAAGCTTATAAACCTGGTGCATAACAAAAATTAACCCTAGCATCCATGCATGAAAGCTCTACAGGGTACTAGTTAGTCTTGTCAGGATTTATCTGTTCATCCAGGCTCTCTCCTGCCTAGAGTGATTCTTGTTTAACTGCAACAATGCGAAGGAAACTGCTGACTGGCAGAAACAAACAAATGAGGTTCAAGGTGCAACTCTGCTTTTTCACACTGGAGAGAACAAATCTAATGTGCATGACCCAGAACCTGGAATCAGTCTATACAGATGCACAAAAAAGGACTGCCTCAGTGCTCCTACACATCTGCATTTACAAAAGTCATCTCCAAGGCTTTTGGTGCATAAGATGAACTGCTCCATGTGTGTCAGCTCCTTTAGTGACTGGTAAAAAGAAAAAAACCCTCCATGTGTGATTGCTAGATTCCACAATCTGCTATCCTAGCTAGTTAAGCCCTTCTCTTCAAGTTCCCTTCACCAAGCACAGACAGGTGCAATCATGTAACAAGTGACAGGAATATGTATTGAAATGATAAGCTGCCTCAAATTAACCTGATGGCTTAACTCCCAGTCATGATTATTCTAAGTTCAAAAGCAACCTGGAATAAATATATTTATTCTTGGTGAATTCATGAGTCATTACCATGATGTTCATCAGTTAGAGGCATATTGGACATTATTAGGAGCACTGAAGTGTATTAATTGCAACAGGTTATATTATCAGTCACCTCTAGAATTATTCTTTCCCATTTTCTTTCTTGAGTTAGCTAACTCTGATGTGTTAAATTAAATCATATGAATAGTGTTTTACTGGTATTTTTAATTTCTATCACTGTTCTGATAACATCCATAAGTGATCCATGTTAATTTTCATCTATGGACATTTGAGAGATACTCGTTTATTCTTGACTGTCTGCTCTTTAGAAAGGCAAAGGGCTTCTACAGGAGTTTGGTAATGTAGGAAGGTTGCCAGCCCATAAAGAAATTTTTACTGCTGGGGCACAAAAGGAAAAGGACAGATCCAGGGAGCAAATGGACCCCACGCTTTATTCAGAAGTCTATAGACTCTACACAAATGCTTATACTACTCTAGGTTAAAACTGGAGGTAGGTCAATCTTTCTGCCTCTTCACTCTGAATTGGTTCTTCATTAGTCTGTGCTGCAAAAGCTTAACTCCTTTTCCCACATCCTGTTGCAGAAAGGATCTTCATTTTGCTATGGGGATAGTATTTTACCTTCCTTAGGCCATTTTGAATACAGTAATGTAATTAGGCTGGAGCAAGTGGCGCACCAGTGTGAGGCAGCAAGTAGGAGGGGGCACTAGAATCTCCCTATGAAGTCTTTGCTGCAGCAGGAGCATCTCTGTGCTGTCCTGCCACCACACCAAGCAGTGCATCTGGTGGACATCAGGGGTGAGTAAAACGAACAGAATGGTGCTCCTTCCCACCCCACCCCCTGGGAGCCTTTGCTAGAGCAGGCATAGCCCTGTGCCTATGTATGTAAAGTGGGGGAAGGCAGGAGGGAGGAAATGTACCTCCAGGGTTGGCTCCCAGGAAACCTGGCCGTGGAGCTGCTGCTGCCTAAGCAGAGCTGAGACTGCTAGAGCAACAGCAGCAAAAGCAGTCCCCAGGAAGGTAAGACCTTCCTTCCACTCACCCACATTCTCCCACTATCTACAGTGGTCTGCAAACCCACACATGCCCCAGCACCCACCCCTCTCCCCCCACCATGTACTCAATAAGCTATATCAATGATGGAATAACTTCACTTGAATTATACTCCATGATAAAGTATTATTGATATTCATAATGCAATAATACCTAAAAGAATCAAGATAGAAGGCTCTATGTTTGGTGCGGAACAAAAGCAACCAGAGATGTGGCCCTGACCTTCAAGAACCTGCAATTTAAGAAACAGTTATTAATTATTTTTAGTTTTATCTTTTCTGGTGATGATAATGGTCTCTTTGAGGAAGTTCTGCAAGAGCACAATATTTCATCCCAGTGGACACAGTGTTATATCATGGGCACAGGTCACATCTACCAGCACATTATGGTAATCAGGCAAACTATTCAACCAACATGGAGGAGTGAACATGAGTTGAGGCAACAGATGTCCTCTCTGTAGCTTAAGAACCTCTTTGATGTTGCCATTTGACTGACCTTTCTTGTCTTCTTAATGTCACATAACTCAGTGAACTGAAGAGTAAAGTTCAGCTTAATCCAACTCTGTGCTGAGAATACTGCGCACGCACTGCCTTCAGTTTGGGTTTCTTCCTGTCAAGTATGACGAATGACTTCAGAGCATCCCAACATTTACTGATGCAAAGCATTTGTTCAGCTGCTCCTCCAGATTCAAATGAAACACATTTTTCACTAAATCCAGATCATCCTTTCCGGCAACTATGACATTATTTTGTTTCTGGCTTCTTTGCAGCAAGTGAAGGTGAATCTAATTCAGAAACGCACATTTTAGTTCCCTGCTAGTCAATTAGCTGTCACCTGCTCATCAGCAAGAAAAGAGTTTATGTGAAGGCCATCCATGTCAGGTTTCACCCTAATCACAACTTCTTCTGTGCCACATCTGATATCAGTGTCACTTTATAGGTACTTCTGAAATATGCAGAATTAAAAGGTCAACTAGAAAGATGAGGTTTCCAGAGATGCCAAGGAAGTAATATGCCCAGCTACTACTTCATCAAAGCTCAGGGTGACAGGCACACAGTTGATTAGGGCAACCCATTGATCAGAATCACCCATCAACTTCTAAGTTAATTTAATTCTCGCTTTGAAACATTTTCACTAATAATTATTTTCTCTGAAATATTAATATTTTGAGAGTTCTTGAGTCTGAAAGCTGTTGTTGTTTTTAGCTGACAAGGTCTCAGTGCTGGGAAAGCACTGTTGAATATGCCATGGGGAATTCCATTCTTTAGCTGCAAAAGTAGCTTGATTTACATTATATTTGTAATCTATTTTCCCCTTCTTGACCAAACTGAACTCTTCACTGGCAGCAAGAGTTACAAATTCAAGCACTTCATCTGAATCAAACACAAATATTCTGACTGTTTTACAACTCTGAATATCCCAAATACTCCTCTCAAGAACAAGGACGTGCAGTGGGGTGATGATATACACCCAACTTCAATTCTTCCTCTATTCCTGCCATCCACAGTGGCCAAGGGTTTGATCTTTGCTGAAGTCAAGATACTCAACTCCTTTTCCCAAGCTGCACAGATAGCCAGCAGCACACATCACATCCTGCTGGCCTAGAAGTCTAAGGACCTGTTCCTGCCAACATCCCCCTTTTCAAGATGCTAGGTCTGCTGTTACTCAAGAACTATCAAGTCTCACTTGATTTCAAAATTTGAGTACAGAGCATATTATCTCAGTCAAGAGGACTGGGACAGTCAACCATAACTCTGGATAGATCTCTTTTTCTACATTCTGCCTTCCAAAAACAAGGTGTGTGTTTTATTTGGGTACTTATGGTATGCAAGAAAATGTGGTATTTATAGTATTAATACTGAACTAACAGTAGATAATAACCACACTATAGAAATTATTGAAAGAATACCTTTATTTTTTTCTGCTGCTGAGACATATACTTACCAATTTTTTCTTCACTGGTGATTTTCCTTGTTTTGTAAATAGAGAAAAACTTTAAAATAGCCAACTAGTATAAAACCAAGATTATATGGAAAATAAAATAAACTCCTTAGTTGTAAATCAGGCCTCTGCTTTCTTGGGCATACATGCACAATCATAGGCCATGGACAGGCCCTTTTAAAAAATCAGACCGTATGCAGCTAAGACTAATTTGCTGCATAGGTAGAATCATGCATATTGTTGTACATTCAAGAACTTTTGCATCCTGAAACACTGCCCACTTAGCCAATATCAATAAGAAAACAAAAATGGACATTTTCTCAAATTTCTGTTCACTCACTGCAAATCATAAAAACTTAACTTCATACATATTATAAGCATAGAACTTGAATA